AATCCTCTGATTGCTTTGAACGAACAGACCCTCTTAGGCTCTTAGCACTAAACTTCTGGATGGCGTTTACTCTGAGAATCCCCCTTGATCGCCCATCAGTCAATCTATCCTCTCCTTCTCATGGCTCCCTTCGTCCTCCCCACCCTTAGGACTTTTCCAAGAAAGGTCCCCTGGGTGATGCAGACTCACTCTGGATTAGCACCGTCATTGTCTTCCACCACAGCCGTGATGGCTACTGTGATTGAGTAACTGATGATGGCCTCCCCTGCTAGAATGTGAGCTCCTCGTGGTGGATCTGTGTCTGTCTTGCTCGCTGTTGTATCAATGACTGCCTCTCATTGGCACTCGGCAAATCGTTGCTCAATACAAAAGGTGGGGACTCCATATCTTTTCCACCCTTGTAACCCCAGAACCCTGTGCAAAGCCTGCTCAGAAACAAATTGTTGAAGGCTTACTATGTTCCAGGCTCTGTTAGCCATCCTGTATATGCCATCTCCCTTAATCCCCACACCAGCCCTTATAGATATGGATCATGCCCCTCCACTTTACAGATTAGGAAACAGAGGCACAGAGAGGTTAGGTGAGTTGCCCAAGGTCTCACAGGCAGTAAGTGCTGTGCCTCTCCCACTGCCAACACTCAAGAACCAATTCACTATTCATCTTGTAGTGAGGTGAATGGGGGCCCTCCCCGAAAGTTAAGTTTATGTCCTAATGCCTGGAATCTGTGAATGTGGCCTTGTGGAGGCAGGGACTGGAGTGATGAGTGTATAATCCAGGGAAAGACAAGCATTGTCTGCAGCTACCAGACGCTAGGAGGGGCATAGAATTGATTCTCCTTCAGAGCCTCCAGGAGGAATCAACTTTGCCAACACCTTGACTTTGGAGTTAAGGCTTCCAGAACTGTAAAAGAATAACTTTCTGTTGTTTAAAGCCACCTAGTTTGTGGTGATTTGTCACTGCAGACTAGGGAACAAATACAGGCCCCAAACCAGATGGTGCTATATCTGGCGCTTCCTCGAGAGGCCTTTCCAGGGTCTGCAAGAGAGTCCTAGGCTGTGTGACTGCAGCCTAGTCACCTCCGCTCTCTTGGCCTGATTGCTCTGAAGCAAAATGAGCACTTGGGATGCCAAGTGTTCTTCCAACTCTGACATCGTGGAACCCTCTAGAAAAACCATGAGCCAGGCAAGCAGGGCTATGTTGGGATTTTCAGATTTATTCCAACATGCTAATTTTTTTTTTTAAAAAATATCCTCAGGCTGAACACTCAGCCAGAGCTGTAATAAAGGCAATTATTATACTTGTAAAAACTTCTCATTCACAGTACAGATGTAATTTACAACAAAGGTCACACACATCAATACTGAGCATTTTTCCTTTTGTACGTCAGACTCTGTGCTTTAGACCTGCGTGGATTTTTTGTTTTTTTGTTTTTTTGTTTTTTTCTTTTGCACTGATATATACCATATCAACATTGCAAGATGCAAGTGTGGAAACTGGAGTTTAAATAAAATTACAGGCAAGACCACCCCATCCCAGTGCGGTTGCTGTACATATCTACAGTACAATTTTTGGAATGTATTGCCATTTAAGAACATAGAAACTTTCTACAGACAATTTCACGTACAGAATACATACACCTTTTAGAAAAAAAGGCAAATATTTATCTTACAGAGAGCATTGTATTTTACATTTGCCTGCACATTTCCTTTTTCTGTTTCTTTTCTTTCTTTCTTTCTTTTTTTACATACTAGATTTAGTAAAGTGACCGTAAGTGCCGAAGCGGTTTTCTAATGGAAAGCAGACTGGATTCACAACACAGAAGCAGAATTGGTGGAATAGGCTTTCGGGAACTTTCTTTCCCTGGTCACACGGCAGATCAGTCCCCAAGGACAGGTGCTCAGCCAGGACTTTTGCTTTAAGAAGGATTTGTCTGGAGAAAGGACTAGAGAGAAATCCAGCTCAGATGTATTGCTCATTCCTCTTCAGAAGGACTGGGTGGGAATGGAGCAGGGGCTAGAGGAATCTGGAAGCTAATTCTTTTAGGCTTTTTCCAACAGAGGGAAGCAGAGGGACTTCTGGGTCTGGAAGTTGGAGCTTATGGAGGCGACAGTGCAGGCAGCTGGCTGCTGTCAGGCTCCTGGAGGGTCGCAAGGCTTGAGGCCAGAGTGAGAGCCATAGGTGCGGGCAGGAGCAGAGAGGAGTGGGGTTACTATCCAGGATGGCACTGAGATTGCCAAGGGTGAAGAGCATCGTGGAGCGCAGGCCTGGGGGGCAAGGACTCACCAACTGAAGGCAAGGTTTGGCTCTGAAACCTCGACCAGTTGGTTCCTCCCCTATTGCCCACACCTAAGGACCAGGGCTAGTCTGTACCGAGGAATGGCCACCCCGCGCATTTCAAAAGAGCACGCAGCAGGCATCTGTGCCAAGTCAGCCACTGCCTCCTCTGCTGCTTCCCTCAACAGGCACAATAACATCACAGGCAAACAGGAAGCTTGGAAGTGACTGGGAGCAGGGCAGAAGGCCCAGGGGAGGGCGTGCATGGGGCAAGCGTCTTTCTCCAGATCATGAAGGTGTACCTGTGGGCCGGAGGCTCTGTGCGCAGAGGACTGGGACTAGAGTCCGGAGGAGGGGGTTAGAGCTGTGCCCAGTGACATACACCCAGGCTGGTGGCATTGGTTGTGTCCCTCTGGGCACAGCATCAATGTGGAGGCAGCCCTTTGGTGAGATTCTATTTGTGCATTTCCCCCCATCATTTAGAAATAGTCTCCAGTGACTCCTGGCCCCTGTGGCTTCTCTGCCTGAGCCTGACGGGCCCGGTGACTGCCGGGCCTCTGCCCTGCCGGCTGCGCTGTTCATTGCTAGGCTGCCCAGGGAGGAAACCTTGGGTGGGTAGGCTGTTTGAGTACAGGGAGAAAAATGCCCACGAGAGCTGGAAGGCAGAGTGGGGTGGAGTGGTGTGGGGCCCCCCACCAATGTCAGGGGCTAGTCCACCAGAGCCCCCAGTCTGCTGCATTGTAGGTCTGGGGCAGAAAGAGCCTGCCCAGGGAGATTTTTAACCTGGGCTGAAGCAAAGGCCTTTATGCAGCTCCCAGACCTCAGCCCTTGAAGCTTCCAATCCGTGGGCAGTCCCATGGGTCAGGGCTGAAAGGCAAGGGTGGGAAAAGCCCTGGCCTCCTGGGACTCGGAGGAGTCACTTTCTGCCAGACCACTGTCCAGCAATATGGACGGTGTGGTCCAGGCTGGGCTTGCTGCTGCTTTGGGGAGGATGAGAGCCCTCATCTCTGAGGGAAGCAGTCAGGAGCTGCTGGCTAATCTTGACTCCCCAGGACCCTGGAACACAGTGGACCCCCAGGGAGGCCCTGCCTTTCGTCTCATTTTTGTTTTAGCTCTGAGTGAGGCAAAGGAGAATGAATGAACAAGGTGGTCCGGCTGCAGGCTGGACTGCGGCTGGTTTGTCTGTCTAGTAGGGACCAGGCCGGGGAAAGGCCACGAATTGGAAGAGGCAAGTACGGCCCCGCACAGGGAACTCACAGAAGGGTCTTAATCCTCCCCACCTACTGTGTCCTGTACCCAAACAGCTTCAACAGCTCAAGAGCCCTGGGGCGGGCACTTGATTCATACAGCCTGGCTGAGGACTGGGGACTGGCCAGAGAGGTCCCTGCTCTTTATAGGGTGGCATCAAACCCAGCCTTCATGGGCCACGACCATAGTCCCTGTGCTGCCCTCCTTTGTAGAAAGTAAAGAAAACCAGTTCTGGAACACTGGGGAAAAACTCACCTCTCCCAGTTGGGGCAAACACACTACAGTTCAACTTCCATAGTTCAATTTGGGATTTAAATTTCTGGTCCTATTATTTTTCTTACAAAGTAGAGTTTTGCCCCAGGAAATGCAGGGCAGCTTCTTGAAGGTAGAGAGGGGGGTAAGGAAGAGGCACTGGCTTGCACTGATTGCTTTGGAGAATTCCAATGACTTAGGACAATTCAAAAATCCTCTAGGTCACGAGAATCTGTGGTGGCTGGGCAAAGTATCAAACACCGTCCTCTCTCTCTTTTTAAAAAAGAGGTGTAAGACAGCGAACACGCCCGGGCCATATCCACCAGCCACAGTTCTGGGTATTTCCTTGGGGTCGTGGAGACAGGGACAGTGTGAGGCAGGGAGAGGGGGTGGTCCCGAAACAGTTCTCTGCAAACTCCTGTGGTGGAGCACTGGAAAAACTCAGCCGTGAGTGGAACAGGGTCCCTTGTACCCCAGGGTGAAACAGAACCCAAAACCCAGTCTCAGGAACAACCCCTAAGGCTTGGGCCCTGCCACTTCCGCCCTTGTGGGTAGTTTTAGAACAGAGGAGGCAACAGAAGAGTGAGGCCTTGGTCAGGGGCTTGGGAGCCAGGGATGGACAGTCAGGGCTCCTTCCCCAGCCCAGGGGGCCAGGGTGGGGTGCAGAAGGGAGGTGTTGGGAGTGGGGGTGCGTGGGTGGGGTGGCCTGCCCACCTGGGGAGTGCCAGGATGGGCCTATGACTCAGACTACCAGAGTATCCAAGGGCCCTTGGGGAGCCAACCCTCCTCCTTCTACCTGCACCTATTATTTTGCATTGAAATCCTAGGAAAAGTATAATTTTATTTTCTTGCAAAAAAAAAAAAAAAGGAAAATATTTTTTCTGGGCCTGCCTGCTGGGGCCTGGGTGAGGGTCACCTGCCTCTGTTTGCACCCCTGTGCCTGGGGACACTGACCTTTCTGCTGGCAGAGAGGGGTGGCCATGAGCTGGGCAGCGGGTAAAGTGGCAATAAACAGGAACCTTGATCGCATCTGTACACAGGAGTGCTTCCTTTTACATTTAATTCTATATTGTTTGAGGTTTCCTTTTCCTTTCTCCCTCAGTGCACCCCTTCCCCTCTGCCAGCCTCTGGGGTGGGTGGCTGCCAACCGCAGCGGGGAGGGTCAGGAGGCTCCACCATCAGCCTTTCCCCAAAAGCATAAACTATTCACAGCCTCAGACCTCTCATGGGTTGTTGTTGTTTTTTTTTAAATGTATGTATGTGATTTGTTTTGTTTCTTCTTAAGCAACAAAAGGTGTAGAAAAAGGCACAGGTAACTGCATACATGGAAAGGTACAACAGATGGGGCCGTGAGAGCTCCTGGACGGAGGGACAGATGGGGCTGAGGGAGTGGGATGATTCAAGGAAAGTGGCTGGAAACGTCTGTTGCTGGATACTGGAAGCCAGATGCTGAAGCAGTTGGAGAGAGGCTAAGCGTTGCGGGGGCCCCTGTCCTCAGGCTGATGTGGAGGTGCCCTGGGCTCCCCACTTCCTGAGGGCTTGGGGGAGTCCTGCCTGGTCCTGGGTTCCCCAGAGAGATTCCTCCTCCGGGCTGGGAAGCGGGCAGAGGCCTCCGCCAGGCAGCCCATGGAGCTGCTGCGGTCCAGCGGCGGGGTGGCAGAGGCCTCGGGGTTGGTCGGTGCACGCGGGAACTCCAAGCGGGGGCTCCAGGACTGCGCTGCCCGGCGTCCCTGGGGTGGCCGGGGCAAGGTGTCGGGTGGGGTGCAGGGGCTGTGCGTGGGTGTGGGCTCGGCAGGTGCCTCGGTCCCACGGGGTGTCCAGTCAGGAGGCCTGCCCGGGCCTCCGCCGGTCCTCTCCCTTTCCTTGGGGTAGTCCCTGCCCTCCAGCTCTGAGGAGAGTGTGAATTTGGAGACCTTAGCCACGGGCGACACGGAGGCTGATGAGCTCTCAGTGGGACTCCAGCGGCCTCGCTCCTGGGCCTCCCGGGCCCCCGTCAGGTCGCTGCCACCCCCGGAGAAGCCACTGACCCAGGCTGTGGTGGGCCCTGGAAGCAGGGTGGGGTGGGCTCCTGGCCGGGCCTGCACCATCTGGATTCCACCGATGGGAATCAAGGGACACGGGGCACGGGTCAAGTGCTGGGAGTGCAGGGGCAGGTGGCTGAAGATGTTCTCCTCTGTCCGGGCCGGGATGTGGCCGTGGAAGTCATGGAGGGCGGAGAATGGTCGGGAGGAGAGAGGATGAGCAGGGCTGGGTGAGCAGGAGGGACTTCGGGACTCGGCCTTCTGCTGGGGTCAGAAAACAAGACAAGGTAAGGTGAAGGTTACGTGCTGGGCACATGGGGAGCTGAGGCCTGGAAGTGGGAAGGGGACTTGCCCAAGATCACAGAGCGAGTCCAGAGTCCCAGCTGAGCTGAACCCAGAACCAAGCTCCTGACTCCCTGCCCATGATGCTGAGCCTGCTGCCATCTCTGGAATGGGCCATCTCCAGCTCGACAGTGACCATGAGTATGCTCAGGCCCCATGGTCTCCATGCCTCTGGCCAGCATATCTGTCTTCAAAGGAGGGGATACTTGAGCAACGTGGGGCCCTGTCGTCACCCATGAGCCTGGCCTCTATGTGGGTCTGCTGCCTCTCCTGTTCCTAAATGGTCTTCACCCAGCTTCACCCCTGGACATGAGTTCCCACCTGCAGTTCTTGACCTTCTGCCACCCCCAGGAATTTGAATGTGACCCCAAAATTAAAAATCAAGGATTCCTAGATCAGTGTTCCTCCAGGAGTGACAGGGCTGGGTCATGGCAACATGGAGACAGAGAAGGTGTCAGAAGGTGGTGAGCTGATGATGGTGCTCTCAGTTGAGGGGTCATGGCAGCTGAGGGGACAGGGATGGTGACTGTGCTGACGGGGTGGCAGCCGTGGTGTGTTGGTGCAATGGTGACAGTGGTGGTGCTGCCCATGGGGACAGTGCTGATGATCCACAGGGCGTCTCTGAGGGCACTGGTGACAGTGATATTGGAGATGGTGATGGTTTTGGTTAAGTTCTGCCATCTGCTCAAAGAACACAGGCAGATGGGGATGGGGTGGGGGTGGGAAACTGCATGAGTATTTACACCCACATCCAAGGCTACACCCCTTGCAAGTGACGTGATATCGTTTGGATATTTGTCCCTGCCCAAATCTCGTGTTGAATTGTAATCCCCAGTGTTGGAGGTGGGGCCTGGCGGGAGGTGTTTGGGTCATGGGGACTGATACTGTCCTCCAGATAGTGAGTAAGTTCTCATGAGATCTGGCATTTTGAGTGTGTGGCACCTTCCCCCCAGCTCTTTCTTTGCTTCCACTCTGCCATGTGAGATGCCTGTTCCTGCTTCGCCTTCTGCTATGAGTAAAAGCTGCTTGAGGCCTCCCCAGAAACCGAGCAGATGCTGGCACCACGCTTCCTGTACAGCCTGAAGAACTGGGAGCCTATTCGACCTCTTTTCATTATAAATTACCCAGTCTCAGGAATTTGTTTACAGCAATGCAAGAACGGACTAATACGTGGTAGAACCCAGATCCCATGAACTCCAGAGTCCATGCTCTGTGCTTCTGAGGCTAAAATAAAGTTTAATTAGCCAGCTGATTCAGGGCACCCAGCGTGGTGCATGGCACAGTAGGGGCCTAATAAATGTTTGCTAAATTATTAATAACTACTGAGCTGGCAGAGCTGTTTAGTTCCAGGTGTGATACCCAGGAGGGTGTGAACTTGCAACCCCCGCACCCACAGGGGAGAAGCGGCCCAGCCCCCAAGGGCAGGAACTCACCCACGGGGAGGCGCAGGTCTCTGGGCTTCTGCTGAGGAGCTTGTGAGGTAGAGGAGCGGGCGGGAAGAGAACCCGCGGGGCCAGCCCCAAGCCTGGGCCATGCTCCCCCGCTGAAGGGCTGCCCGGCCCAGCTAAGGCCCACTTCCCTGGCAGCGCTGACCGTGGTGGTGACTCGGCCTGACCCGGAGACCATCTCCTGGTGGGCGAGTATCTGGGGAGGCCTGGGTCGGTGGCACCCTCGAGTTTGGAGAGCACATGTGCTCGAGGGGGCAGTTCTCTTCCCAGGGGGCGGAGGGTGAGAGGAGACAGCTGAAGTCTTGGAGACCCACAAGGGAGAGGGTCCATACCCCTTCCTGGGTCCACGTGCAGGCCAGGCGGGCTCGGGGCTGAGGCCTGTGGTTCTCGGGCCGGGGAGCATCGCTGGGGAGATGAGTCGTTTTTGGTTAGTGAGTGTTTGCGGGCTATTGGTGGACGGCTGCCTGCTTCTTTGCTTGGGGACCATGGTCTTCTCGGGGACACAGGCTTGGAGCTCAAGGCTGAGCCTGTGTCTTTCTCCACAGAGCCCAAAGGGGCCGGTCCCAGCCGGGGGAGGCCCAGCGTACTCTGGCTGGACATGGAGCAGCTGCTGGCTGTCAGGCGCTCAGCTTCTGAGACGGAGCTGCCTCGTGTAGCCTGGGTGCCAGAGGCGGGGGCATCTGGGGGCTGAGGGCCCGGGATGGGTGAGGAGTCTGCCCGCAGTGCATGTGGTGGGCCAGGCGGGGGCACCTCTGAGGATGGTCTGGACAGCTCGTCCTGGCTCTCCTCCTCATCCTCATCCTCGTCTTCGTCCAGGTCTGAGTCTGAGTCCGAGTCCTCCAGGTCCGAAAACTGGTGCTCCTCTACAGCCTCTGAGCCCTCTCGTCCTTCCGAGTCCTGGAACAGGTCGTCACTGGTTCCTGAGGGCAAACACAGAAGACCCAAAGTCACAGTTGGGCCTTGGCCCCGCTGCCCTCATGGCTGCTCCTCTCTGAGCCCCAGTTTCCTTGCCTGCTGACTGGGCAAAATAGCCATGGCAAGGGCACAAGATTGTGGGGACAACCACGAAACGTAACAGATATGGGAGCGCTTTGTAAATAACAACAGTGAACAATAATTCCTTTATGCCTAGAATGTGCAACGTTCAGGTCTGAGAGCTTTAGGTAAATTTATTCATTTAGACCTCAAAGAATCCTATGAAGCTGGTACTGTTCTCATCTTCATGTTACAGATGAGGAAACTGAGGTAAGAGAGAGTAATTAACTTGCCCATGGAAGACAGTAGTAGGGCTGGGATTGAGCCACAGCAAAGAAGACAGTCTTTGTTTGTTTCATTAGCATCTCAGTGCTGGCTTTGCCACGGGCAAGTTACCCCACCTTGCTCTGCTTGGTCTCCCCCTTTGTCGAATGAATGTGATGGTCTCACCTCACCAGGTTTTCTAGGAGGAGTAAAAGGAAGACCTGGCACATATCGAGGGCTTAAAAATAATTATACCTGCCATATTAACACATTAATGATGAACTCTATTATTCCAGGACAGAGCAGTCACACTGGCTGGTCCAGCAGCACAGAGCCATCCGTGGTCAGTGTAAACACACATCTGCCATGGTGACCAGGCTCCTGGTGGCTGTCACAATGGCATCTGGCAGGTGGTGGCCTCTGGCCTCTGTGGGCGGCTTGACTAAGCTGACCTCAGGCTGCAGAGCAGGTCCCCATCCCAGCCATGCTCTTATCTGAGGAGCCACTGCCCTTTTGAAGTCCAGGCTGCCTCTAGCCTCAGGGCCCTCCCATTGTCTGCCAGCCCCAGCTTCACTCCATAGTTTTTGACCTACATCCGGCTGAATGCCCACTTTTGTCCACTTTGGACATCTGACTGCTGCATGTTGAGAGACTTGGAAGCAATTGTTCACAAGAGTAAACAAACAACAAAACTGTGATACTTGTTTCAGATATTGTTGGACATTTAGGTCACTTGCACTCCTTAAACAGACTACAAGAATAATAACAGAATTATTGAATAGAGTATAAAAGTGGGGGTTAGGACCCTGAAACACTAGCCTCCTGGTCTGACTCCTCTGGGATGGCCCCAACCAGCCGGGTCACCTCTAACATGTCAGGAGTCTAGTTTGGGCATCTCTGAAATGGACAGCAATCCCGATGCCGGGGAGAACTCCGCTAACATCTGGCCTCCTCACTGGCCCATCGCTAGACCATCGGAACCTGTTTCTGGTCTGCAGAATGAGGCTGCTGACAGGTGGGCTGAGCCAGCCAGCCAGCCCCATCACTCACACATGTCAGTACTGCACCCACCACTGACCAGGAGGGCTGGCACAGAAGCTGACTCAGGCCGCTGGGGCAGCCAGGCTTTGGCTCTCCACCATGTCCAGCTGCCCCGAGGCCAGAAAGCCCGGAACTAGCACTTCCAAGTCACTCAATATGCAGCAGTCAGATGTCCAAAGTGGACAAAAGTGGGCATTCAGCCGGATGTAGGTCAAAGCTATGGGGTGGAGCTAGGGCTGGCAGGCAAAGGGAGGGCCCTGAGGCTAGAGGCAGGGTGATGAGATCAGAGGAGGAATGAAGGATTAGGATGAGAGCAGGACTGGGGATGGGGGTGAACTTTGCAGTTATGCCCCAGGCATTTACTTTCCTTGCCTAGGACTTTGGCAGGGGCCTACTACTTCATCACCCATTCACCTGGCCCTGCCCCTTATTTACATACAGCAAAATCCAGGCACAGATGACTCCGTGAGAGCTGGTGGCTGAGTCAGAACTAAGGCTTACAGCCCTTGCATTGTTACACTGACAGTTTAAAAATGATGTGCTGCACTAAGAATCAGGGAGTGGTCGGGTTTGAATCTCAGCACCACCACTTCCTTGCTGTGTGACGTTGGATGCTTTACTTTCTCTGTGTCTGGTTTCCTCATCTGTAAACTGGGTAGTGATAGAAGCACTCTAGGAAGTTGTTGAGAGGACTGTGAGGGTCTGGCACACAGTAAGTACCCAATAAACTTCAGCTCCTGTCATCCCTGTCCCCCCAGTCTCAGCAGGCAGGTAGCTGGGGTGGGACTGTCAGCATTTTGCAGATGAAGGTCACAGGGGTAGTGTTAGGAGTGAAGGAGAGTCAGGACCAGCGTCTCCTGATGTCCAGCAGGGAGGGCTCATAAAGACCGTCTTTACTAATGTGGAAGTTGAGACCCAGTAGGGATAATGGCCCGTCCTGGGCACTCAGTGCATGAATGCTGGAAGCCAAGAGTCCCCTGCCCAGCTCGAGGCTGGCCGGGCCCTCCACATCTGCGTTCCTGCAAGGCACTGGGGAATGCCTCTGTCTGGGCGGCCCCTTCCCAGGGCCCTTGCTGGAGCGGCCCCGCCCCTGCTGGGATCCAGGCCAACGCTCCACAAATGAGTGTGCTTGAGCGCGCGGCGGGCGCCGCTGGGAGAGGCCACGCGGTGGCGCTGGCGCCCAGCCTGGCCAGCACCGTGGGCAGGGACCGGGCGCCTCGCTCCTTCCAGGCAGTCCTCCCACGCGCCACCTCGCGTTCCACAGACACGAACTCATGCCGCTCCCCCCTGCATCTGTCTGGTCGCGGGAAGTGGAAACTCTATCCAATTCAGTCTCTTGGGCCGTAAACCTTGGAGTCCTCCTTGGCTCCTTTTCGTCCTCCCCCCTCCCTTCTGCTCCATATAGGGTCAGCTGAGCCTGTGGGCTCTCCCTCCAGAGCCCACCCAGAATCCCGCCGCTTTTCCACCTCCTGAGCACATCCGGCCTCCCCGCGCCCCCAGCACAGGCCAGAGGACGCCCTGCCTCTCTCCTCTGCTCCAGGGCACCCCCGGTGCCCTTCAGCCCTCAGGCTCCAGGTCTCTCTGAACCGGCTGCCACCGCGCCCAGCGGGCTCCAGCACTAGGGAACCCCGCACCTGATGCTCCCTCTGTAGGAGAGCTCCTCCCTGACCCCACGTGGCTCCTGACTCCGGTTCCTTCCGGTGGGGGTTCTCTGCTCACAACCCTCTGTCTAGCACAGCAGCCCTCCCCACGGGCCCCAGCCCTCACTTGGCTCTTCTGCTTTCTCTTTGGCTTCACAGGCAAGGCCCTTGCTCTACTCCACCTTCGTTCCTTGCCCAGCTCCCCTGCCATGCCGACTGCCTGAGGACAGGAGCTGTTTTATTTACTGCGGAACCTCCAGCACCCCGAACAGAGCCAGGCACAGAGATTGTGCCCAGTAATTACTTCTGGAATGAATGCATGGATTTCGTCCTGAGAAAAGTGGCTCTGAGCATCCTCCTTCGCTCCACTGGGAAAATGAGGCTGGGGCGGGGCAGGGACCTCAGGGGAGGGCTCTGGCTTAGGCTCAGGCTCCCCTGGTTCAGCCCACCAGGCAGTGGAGTGGCATGCAGCCAGGGTTTTTGTGTGACCTTGGGCTATTTTTACCTGTCTGAGCTTTGACTTCCCTGACTTAACATGCGTGACACAAGTTTCTGCCACCTGTTTTAAGGACTCAATGAGACAATATGTGTATATGGCCCAGTGTATCCTTGTCAAGCACCGCGAACCCACATTCTAGCTTTGGGGTGAACAGCCCCAAGTTCACTGTGTTCTGCTCTATAAAAATGACGTATTCCGCCTAAAAGGAAATATGACTTAACTCTTTTTTGTAAGACCACAAATATTCCCCAAATTGGAAAAACAAAAATGGAACAAGACACACAGTGTGTGCATACACACTCCTCTCTGTCACACTCTAAGTCCTGGGGCTGATTTCAGGGAATCAGTATGCTTCCTGCTTTGCTTGGTGCTGAGAAATGGCTCCAGCCTCCTCCTGTTGAAGGGACTGCGGTCCACCACCAAAGCCCTTCTGGCCACCTGTCTGACTGCTAAGGCCTGGCAGTGCCCAGCCAGACCCACTGGCTTCAAATCCTCTGCCCTGTCTTCTCAGAGACTGACTCTAAGATGCCTCCTGGGGATTGACCACCATGGCCAGGGTGTGTACGGGGATGGGGCTGGGAGGTGATAAGCAGCTGTCAGGTCTGCTTTGGGCTTTCGTGAAACTCTCCTAGCTCCAAAAGGCCCATGTGTCAGGCCCATGCCGGAGTGTGTAGGCAGGAGTGTGGGTGTGGAGCTTTGGAGAGTATGTGTCCCACAGTGTCACTGTGAGGAGTTGCTGGGATAATTCAGGGCATGCATTTAGAACCTGCCTGACACATAGTGGGCACTCAGCGTTGACTGTGAGTTCTCTTGTGTGCTTTATTCAGTAAACATTCACTGAGCACCCATGGGTGCCAGGCGCTCCACCTGCATGACAGATGGTAATGCACGATAGCTAGGGCTGCACAGCATATCCTATCAGCATGTGGGAAGGCGGCCCGATCATTCAGGGAATTTAACCTTTGTCTCTGAGAGTTGGGAGAAATGAAGGTGAAGACACGGGAGGGAGAGAGGCGATGAGGGGGAATGGAGCAAAGCAGACAGAAAGGAAGCACGGAAGGCAAAGAGTTAAGGTGGAGGAGGACGGGGAAGGCGGACGAGGGGAAAGGGACGGAGGAGGTTGGCAATTGTTACCTTCTTCGGCTTCCAGCTCCTCCAGCACCCCTGTCTCTTGGCACTTTTTGCTGTGGGCCTTCGACTTCATGTGCTTAGTCAGATTCCCTAGAAAGAAATGAGAATACTTAGGCTCTGCTGTGGGGCAGGAGGCCAGGGCGGGCCCAGGACTCACGGAGGTAGCACCTGGCCGGCAGGCCGTGGTTTCCAGGTCAGTCAAGGCCCTGCCAGCTGCAGGGGCTGGGCAGGAGCTGGGGCATCCCTCTGCCCTGGTGCTCAGGCCAAGACGTGTAGCCACAGCTGCTGTTAGGGCAGTGCACAGGAGCTAGGGGGGGGGGGGGGCAGGGGCGGGGGCTGCGAGGGGACAGAGAGTATAATGAGGAAGTGAGATGCTGGTTAAAAAACAAACAAAAAAAGAAATTAAAAGACAACTCAAGTGCAATAGGTTTCTTTTTCTTTTTCTTTTTTGCTTCTGATTTAAGTCTGGCCCTAGTAGCTGGTGACGCTCATCAGGCAGCACTATTGGCCATCTCAAGTGTGGGATGACGTGGGAGGCTCCCATTGACCGGCGTGATGGGTGAGGACTAAGCATGCCCTTCTGGCTGAGGATAGTTCTAGGGCAGCCCACAGGGCAGAATTCTAGTGTAGGTAGAGAAACCAGGGCAAATTCAATATTACGCATGGTGAGAGGGCAGAAGGTGAGAGTAGGGAAGTCTACTGGCCAGGGATTCAGGAGCCACAAGGCTGGGGGCCCAAGCTTGGTTTCCACAGAGAAGTCCCATTTCTGGGCCTTCAGTTTCCCCAGGCCAGTCTACAGTGCAGACACAGGACCAGGGTGGTCAGGGAAGGCCCGGGCAAGGCCTCTGTCCTGCTCCATGCCTACAAAGCCCTCAGAGGGCAGGCTGACTTTGCCCCAAGTTGTAGGTCCAGCCCACAAGCTGCAGAGCAGAGACAGCAGCTCTGTGGAATGAGGGAGCAGTAACAACAGCTTCAGTTCCCCAGCAGGTGTGCAACATTTCACAGGCCACACAGCTCGGTGGACAGGAGGGTTCTAGGAAGGACAGGCAGAGCATCCCAGCCTGCCCCAGAAGAACACAGGCCAGATGCCTCAGGATATTGCTTTGGGCCCAGCAGCTACTCCCAAACTATGATGTGCTCACTGTTGCCCTGGGGATGGCTGTATTTCCATATGATCATTAACATCATAAGTGCCCTGAATCAGGTATTCTGTCCCATTAGTCTAATTAATTGGTAAGTTTGAATGGATGGATGGAGGAGAGAAGAATGGAAAGAGGTAAGCCTCCTGGAGTGGATGAATTGAGTGATTGGTGGGTGGATAGATAAAGTGGATAAAGGAAATATAAAGAGAATGAAGAACAGGAAGAGGATAGACAGAGGGATGGAACTCTAGATGAGCAGATAAGGAGATGAATAGGCAGACAGAGGATAGGTGAGTAGATGAAAATAAATGGAAGGATAGATGGAGAATGGGTCAATAAACAGGTGGGATGATGGAGAGCTGGATGGGAGGACGGAGACATGGATGAATGGAAGAATGGCTGGTTGGATGGATGAATGGACACATGCACTTTTACATGCATAGGAGTACAGATAGGAGGATGAAAGAATGGGAAGTTGGATGGGTGGGAGGACAAATGGGAGAATGGTAGGAACAGATAGGATGAGAAGATAAAAGAACAGGAAAACTATTAGATGAGATGGATGGATAGGTGACCAGGGAGAGGGCCCACAGATAAACCAAAGGGTGCTTCTTAATCATTCCTGGAATTAGAAGAAATCTTTAGGGTTTTGCTAAGAGGTTAATGGGGGAACCTTAAGCTGGGATTCCCAGAGGTGTTCAAGTCAAGGGCACCAGGGATGGGAGGGGAGCTGCTTCCTTTCCTCGTTCTTCACCTTGGTCCTGGTTCATGACTCTATCCTTCCTAATTTGGATCTTCCTCCTATAACCGGAAATAAACCTGCATGTTCTACTCCTGGCAATAGTGGGAGCAAAGCCATAATTCCAGAGTCATCTTGTAGCCAGAGGGTCCTCAGAGGTCCCTGTCCAACCTAGTGGACTTCTGCCCTCACTGTCATGAGAAGGCAAAGCCAGAGTAGGACAGTCAAGAGGTGGGAAAAGGCAGCTGGGGTCTTCCGTGGATCAGAGATATCCACTGTCCTAAGGTCCTGGATCCAGGCCCACCCTACCCTGACTACCCCAGACCACAGAGCACAGCAGACACTGCTCATTCTGGCTATTACCTCATTTGTCGCACCTGTTCTGCCTGGAAGGTTTAGGTCTCTAATGAACCAAGCTAGATGCTGGGCACACAATGGGTGTACAATAGCCACGTATGGGAGATGCCCTTCTCATTGCAGGAGGAAAATGTTGGAAGGAACTTCAAAGTCCATGTAATTGAACCCCCACCAGGCTGAGATTCTCCCTGCTTCTGATCTAACTCTGGGTCCAGGTGCTGATGGCACCATTAGACAAGATCACTGGCTGTCTCGGACGCTGGCAGGGCTGCTTGAGCCAACACAGCGAATCAGGTGGCCCGTAGCCACAGTGCTGTTGGTGCCGAGTTCCATTTAGACTCAGGTCTCAAGACTCTGGGGGCCTTTCCCACTCCATGTGGAGGCAGAGTGGAACCTAGATGGAACCTGGCAGCCTTGGGTTTGACTGTGGGCTCTGCAGCTTGCTAGCTGCGGGCTCCTGGGCAAGTTCCTTAACCTTCTGAACCCAGGTTTCTGCAACTGTGAAGTAATACCTACCTCGTGGGGATGCGGGAGGACTTGATGAGGTGACACATGTAGAGTGGCAGCAGAGTGTGCCTGGCAGAGAGCAGACCCCTGTCCTCATGCCAGTCACTCTATTGAGCAGCCGGGGGCTCTGCCACGCACCATGCTGGGTGTGGAGGAAGAGATGCTAAGATGATGCTTATGGTGAAATGGTTTTACCTTTCTCAGGAGAAGGCACCAGGGAGCCCCCAAAGGGCTGTCTCTCCTCTGCCCCCAACCCCGGGGTGCAGGGAGGAGTCAGGATCGGAGGTGACTTTGCGGGTCCAGGAGTGGACACTGGATGGGCAGCCCTGAGTGCTGTCTGGGTCCCTCTGTGACTTCCCTCTCCAGGTCCGTCTCCTCCTCTGTGAAAGGGGAAGGTGGGGCACATGGCTGCAGGTGCAGCCTGAACACCACTTCCCTGTTGAGGGCCAGGGCCTCGGCTTGTCAGGCAGAGCCACAGTTTCTCAGTCATTCCAGACCCCACCAAAGCCTAACAGGCCTGGAATGAAGAGCAAAGGCAAGTGAGAGGGAAGGCGATGGGTGGGCGAGAGGCGGAACCTCCGATAAAAGGGCATCCACCACCAACCCTGCCTGCCTCATTTGGCTTTGACCAACCCATCTGTCCCTGCCCCTGCCGGCCTGGCAGACCTGAGGCCATCTCTGTCCCCCGAGGCGATCGGTGCAAGGGCCTGGACATGGCACACACACCCATCCGCCGGCCTCTGGGAACCATCTGAGGAGAGGAAATGGGACCCCCCAGCCGCCAGAGGGCCACCCACAGGCCTCCCCAGCCCCACCTACTGACGCGTTCCTTAGCCAGTTTCCAGAGGCCTGAGCTGCTGCCACGACGTCTGACACAAGAGACAAGACACACACGGCAGACAGAGACAGACAGGAAGGCAGGAGGGGCTCCCCAGGCCCTGGGGTAGCCGGGTGGTAGGGCCAGGAGGGCCGCCTGGGGCAGGCCTGGAGGTGGCCTGATGGGGAGGCGCACAGCCCCGGAGAGAAGGGGCCGGTGTTGTCTGAGCTGATGGCTTACGGGGCCCAGCACTCCACAAAGACACCTGGCCCCAGAAACAGACAGGAGCTCCAGCGTCCTGCTCTCCCTTCACCCCCATACTGCAGAGAGAGCTGACAGGGAGCCTTCCCTGCTTCGATTGCCACCATCCCAACCTGGCCTTCCCTCTGTTAGTCAAACAGTTTCAGATTCCACCATTTCCCATCTGCTTCCTGTGTTGGTTCTGGAAGGTTCTAGTCTTCTAGAAGCCCCTGTGAACAGTTGAGGAAGAGCTCAGGGCACTGCCTGATCACTGGTTGAGAGCACGGCCTCATGGGCCTGGCCTTCGGGACAGCAGGGGCAGCCTTCCCTCGGGGGATGCTCTATACCCCTGTAAATGTGAAGGGCCTACAGCCCCTCTGTTCAGGTTATGTACTCTGGACCCTCCAAGGCCCTCCAGGGCCCCGGCTCTGTGCTGGCTCAGAGAGGCCCAGGAAGGGACTGCAGACAGGCTCAGTGTGGCTTCCAATGAAGGCATCTCCTAGAAAGTAGGGGCTCTTGCTAGGGACCCAAGGCAAAGGGAATCAAGTGGGCCCCCTGCAGGAAACTGCTTGGGCTGGAAACTTCCAGTCTCTCGCGGCAGAGTGATGGTTTCCTGAGGCGATGGGCAGCCCAGGCTGCGTGTGGAGCACAGGTGTGCTCTGCATGGCCCTGGGCTGGGAGCTCTCAGGGCTCCTCAGGCTGAGGACAGTGTGGTTCCCTGGACACAGGCCATTCCAAGTGCAGCTTTTTGCCACCCACCCCCGGGAAGGGAGAAAACTAACTGCTCAGAGAAAGGAAGATGACGGGGTGATGCCCTGAAGCTCGGGTCCCGTGTTCTAGTTGCAGCTCCAGCATTAACAGCTATTCTGTTTTCTGGGATCACTTTCTTCACCTTCAAGGGGACTTGGGTGAGAAGTATTCTGCTTTTAGAGTTGAAGACCGTCCATTGAATTGTCAGTCAGTTATCTCCATCTTATTCTTCCATAAAATCTCAACTGGCTGCAGAAGGCCAGAGGAAGTGCGGTTGGAGGACGTGTCAGGGACAGCCCACGTCCAGGGCGACGCATGCTGGGCAGGGCTCCAGGGATGGAAGACACTTTCGAAGCACCCATGGGGTGGGTGGGGAGTCCTGGGCCTATCTGCCCTCTCTGGGCAACCTTTGGGACGTTGTTTATGAGACACTAAGAGAGAAGAGGATCAGGGAAAGGCAGTGGGAGGGCAGGCACCTCTGTTTAAACCAAAACCTTGGCAGGAAAATTCGAGCTCAACTTGCAGATGATGGTGAGGGGACAGAGCAGGGCAGGGGTTCAGTTAATGGTGTCAGGAGACCAGAAACGGGAACACAGTCAGAGAAGAGGCCACTGTCCCAGGGGATGTGATAAACTGGCGCCTGACTTGGTTTAGAGAGAACGGAAGGGGCCAGGCAGCAAGAGCACGGAGGAAGTGAAGAAGGGTAGGGACCCTGCTGGGCCCCCTCCAGAGCAGTGGCCCAGCCTCGCTTGCTGGGAGCAACTTTGCCAACAGAAGAAAGGTCAACAGGTGGCACAGCTGAAGGATGCCCTTGAGTTTCACCCCCTGAGAAACCGCGGGGCTCCCAGAAGCCCCCAACTTGCTCAAAGGAGAAGACAGGACCCTGATGTCCAAACCCTGACCCAGGAATCTATAAAGCTCAAGAGGCTGAAGAGACCAGGGTGCCGAGAGCCCTGGGTCTCCCTCCAAGGCACTTCAGTCTGCAGTGAGCAAGCTGCCAGGACCTTCCCTGCCTATCCTGCAGGAGGAGAGTGCGATCCAAGAATCCCATGGACACAGCTCCTTCGTCCACACCAGGGGCCTGGCCTGGGTGGCTGTGGCAGGCCAGGCCATGCCCATCACCCATCGCAGCTCTCTGGGATGCACGCCTTTCACAGCAGGCCCCTCCTTTCACCGGTGACTGCCAGAGCCTATCCTGACCCTGATGTGGGGTGTGGCTGGGGCAGGGGTGGCAGGGCTGCCAGTCTGGGAGTGGGGGGCCGGCCCTGTGCTGAGACGTGCAGAGAAGCTGGGTGGAGCAGGGACAGGGTGGGAGTGGAGAGGTGGGTGGAGGTCGGTGCACTCTGGCATGAGAAGTGAGCATGCGAGTGTGTTAAGCAGCTGGGAGTGGAATGGATTTCCAAATGCAAGAGTGGCAGTGACGAGCATGGATGCTGGAGTGCCTCAGATCAGTGGATAAACGGCTCAGGAGACATGCAGAAGGGAGGGGAGATGAGAGAAGATGCAAAACCAGGAACGGTGAGCAAGAGTGCTGCACCAGGCTGGGCAGGCCAGGGCCAGGCAGCCACAGGTGTAGGGGCTGTGTGCGTGTTCCAGGAGGATGGCTGGGGGCAGCCATGGGGAGCCACAGGCCAGTCTGGAGCCAGCTGCTCTGCCACTGGGCACCAAGCTGGGTGGGAATCCAGGAAATGGAGCTGCTCCAGGCCCCCTGCAAAGAGGTCTGGGCACCTGAACTCTGTGCTGGGACTCCCAGAGGGGAGCTCCCTGCAGCGGGCAGGGGCAGTGCCCCAGCTGACTCTCTCTTACCTTTGGTTTTAAAAGCAAAGTGACAGTGCTTGCACACATAGGGCCGGACGTCAGTGTGGGTGCGGATGTGTTTCTTCAGCATGCTGGGCTTCTTGCAGCGAATTCCACACTCCTCACAAACATATTTCCCTCGGCCGCGGCCTCGCACATATACATACTCTTCGTTTGATTTGTACCTATGAGCAACAGGCGTCATAGTAAAGGGAAAAAAAAGGAGAAGAGGCAGATTCCCACCTCAGAAGATGCACGCGCTTCCTAGCTTCATCCAGCCCATTACAGACGCAAGGAATGGAGGTCACGGAACCAGAGAGGACCATGGGAGTGGGAGGAACTGAGTCACTCTGGGGATCCACCATGGACCCCTGCACCCCTCCCCCTCAGACGGGGGGAGCTGCACTATTCTTCCTCCCCCAGAAGCAGCAGACACTGGTGCGTCCCACCGAGAGGATGTGGAGCTGCAGGGTGCCAGACAGCCTCCTTGGCAGAGCCAGCCCAGCTTCAGCTTCACCCACAAAGAACAGCCACTGCAGGCCACCTGAGTCCTAGAGAGGGAATGATGATAATAAAACAGCAGCAGCAGCTCGGGCAGCCGCGATTCACCAAATGCTCACTCTGCCAGGCACTTTACCCAAATCAAAGCACAACCACCTCACCATGGAGAGCCCGTGAGACCCCGAGGCTTAGAGACAGTGAGAGACTTGTCCAAGATCCCATAGCCAGAAGGGGCCAGAACCAGGCTCTGAAAGTGCCTTCCCCAAAGCCTGTCCAGTCTGCCAGGAAGCCGCCCTGACATTCATGGGAGGAGAAGGAACAGGGACCACCATTGCTTCCCTGGTTTCAGAGTTTGGAATGAGGAGTCCTGAGCTCTCTCCCTCACCTGCACCTCAGTCTGCAAGCTCTGCAGGCTGCAGGGTCCCAGCCACCTGCCACATTGCTTGGGGTTTTATCTGGAAGTGCCACCAGCTTTCAAGAGCTGCCCCCGAAGCATGAATCAGAATGCTCTTATTTCCACTTAGAAGGAAACCCACGAGTCCCACATGCGCAACAGGATCACGATGAAGCCGTCTTGTTGTTCTAATGCTATACATGTGCAAGTCACAGATGCGGTGGGGAGGGTGGCAGGCGGTGCGCCAGGAGAGGGGACCCTGGCATACTTCCAGGAGGAGCCTTCTGACTCGTGAAGCCTGAGAGGCCACTGGCAAGGCACGTGGAGGAGGCGTGGCCTCTCAGCCTGTGGAGCGCACCTTCCAATGCCAGCCAGAGCTGCCCGTGCCCTACTCACTCCGCACCACCTGCCCCAACCAGGTCCAGCACAGAGGGGCAGGAGGTGGCTGGGAGGAGGTGAGCCAGGGACAGCGGTGGAGGCTCCACCCTGCTCCAATGGGGCCGTCAGCTTACAGCTGAAAGGACGTCAGAAGGAAGGGCTTGGAAGAGGGGACTTAAGGGAGAGAGCCTGCTAGCAGCAACGGAACAACCACCACCACACCCCTGACCTCACACTCGCCCTCACGCATGCTCACACCCCACACTCACCCTCACATTCACCCTCACATTCACACATGCTGACACGCCCACACTCACACGCTCACCCCCCACACACATGCTCACACCCCACAACCCCTCACAACCCCCACACTCACACCCCACACTCACATACTCCACACCCCATCCTCACACTTACACTGACACCCCTACCCTCACACACCCCACTCTCCTCTCCACACCCCTACCCCCCACACACCGCACCCTCACACATGCTCATGTCCCCACCTTCATACACATACATACACTCACTTCACTCACCCCACACCCCCCACACCCTCACACTCACACCCTCACACTCACACCCCTACACACTCCCACAACCAGACACTTGCGCCTCTGCTTGAATACTCATATACCCCATATTCACACATACACACACCACCACCCTCACCCATCCACACATTCACAACCCCAGACTCACTTCCACATCCCCACACAGTCACACACCCACACAAATAACCCCACAATCACACCCCCCACATTCACAATCACCCCCAGTCACACATCCTCACACTCCCACTCACACCCATGCATACTCCCACAATCACACCCGCACACCCACATCCCCACACTCCCACACACACACGGACATGCACCAGACCCCTCCACCCTCACACAGTCACACACGCTCGCACCCATGAACGCACACCACACACTTACTCACTTGCATACTCAGACCTCCATGCTCATGCTCACACACTCTCCTGGCACACTCACCCTCACCTCACACATGGACTGCTGTTCACTAGTACAGGTGGGCTCTGTTTTTTGTTTTTTTTATCACCTCAGATTTGGCCAACTGATGCCGTCAAGGAGTCTAAAACTGCCCCTTCTCCACCGTGGCTGCCCTGACCAGCCAGTTTTTGCCGCGTCCCCAGTGGGGGCCACCTTTCTGCGGGATCCAGGACACGCGCCACCTTGCGTTCGAGAGGAGGAACTGAAGGCCGTGGCGGCGGTGCGCAGAAACGACTCGTTTCTCTTAGGAAGGGCACTCTGTGGCCAAGCACGAGGCACCTGCCTCCAAGTGACAGTGGCTCATCCTCACGTGGCAGATCTCCAGGACCAAAACCAGTTGCTCACACCTGGTTCTTAATTCCCATGTCCCTCCATGCCCCTGGGACCTGGTGGCTGGGGAACACGGCTGAGATAGAGGCCCCTTTCCCAGCTAGGAGAAGACAGAGTGAGGGCGGCTTGGTCTCCCCTTTGCACTGGAGGCCCCGCCACCTCCTGGACACTAGCCTCCACCTGGCCCTGCTCGTCGGGTCCATGGCACTTGCTCCCCTCCTGCCAACACCCACAATGGTGTCCTTCAGCCTAGCCTTCACCCTGCTGATCCCCACACAGCACAGCCACTCTGTGTCTACTGTGCCTGTGTGCCAGCCAACCTAGAAGCAGGTGCCAGGGTCCGTCTGCCCCAGCTGCTCTTAGACCCCTTCATTTCCTCCTCCACATCAAGCTTAAATGGTACATGGTCTTTCCAAATGGAGAGAGAGAGAGAGAGTGATAGGAAGGGAAGGAGGGAGAGAGAGGACTCTGAGCCTTCAAGGGTGGTGCCTTGACTTGGGGTGGGGTATACACAACCACGTGCAGCACCTTGTCACATCAGAGAGGGAGTGCAGCCTGCTGCGGAGCACGAGGGAGGAGCCTGGGTTGGGTGAGGCCAGGGATGACAGGAGAGATGGAGGACAGGAGAGAAGAAGGACGGGAGAGAAGGGAGGACAGGAGAGAAGGGAGGTCAGGAGAGATGGAGGACAGGAGAAATGGAGGACAGGGGAGATGGAGGACAGGAGAGATGGAGGACAGGGGAGATGGAGGACAGGGGAGATGGAGGACAGGAAAGATGGAGGACAGGAGAGAAGGGAGGACTTCGGTAGGCACCCCTGGAGCAATGTCAGAGTGTTGACAGCCTGCAATATTTGGTTGCGGAGAGGAGATGAGCCTGGAGGAAAGGCAGGCTGGATCACCATTGGCCTTGAACACCACGCTAAGTTTGGGCTTCATAAAAACCTTAAAGAGAAATATAAAGTCTCCAAGAGAGGATATTCCCTGGCCATGGGAATGACCTGGAGTAGGAGAGAATGAATCCAGGCCTAGGCTTGTGTTCTAGAACAGGGATTTGAGATGCCTTCTGGGCATAGGCTCCACAGGCCTCGGTGACCACTTCGATGGGGCAGGGGTCAGAATGAAGGAGAAACCAAAATCCAGAAGTTTCAACTTGGCTCTAATGGCACCACCCCCAAGCTTGGGGGGAAGTGATGAAGGATCCTAGTCCTTAAGCATTGAGTATGAGATGCCCATGAGGAAGACATGAAGAAACATCCTTGTGTCACAGTTAGAAATCAGTGGGACTCAGAAGGGATGTGTAGATTTGTGAGGAGGATGACCCCACAAGACAGAAGGGGGTGGTGCTGAGGGCAGAGGCCTGGGTGGCACCCAAATGCAAGGGTGGGCAGAACAAACGGCACCCCAAACCCTGCCCTCAAAAAGAGAAAGGTCAGAGATGCAGGAAACTGGGAGAGAACTGTGGCTTAGCCAAGAGGAGAGGGTTCAGAGGAGGAGGGGCCTGTAGCTGGACATCCCAGAGAGCTTGAGGAGGACGGCTGCTGAAGACCCAAGACTTGAACGAGGGCAGTCCTGGTTCATCGACCTGGAACCTGTGGCTCCTCTGCTCCTTGAAGGCCAGGACCGAGGTTTGCCCAGCTTTGAGGTTCCCAAAGGGTCCAGCCCAGGGACAGGCCTATGGCAGCTGTCCATCAGTGTGGACCTCCCCAAGCCTGAGGCGGACCTGCCGGGCTTCAGGTCCAGCTCCTCCTGCGGTGCCAGGGCCCACCCCATCCACCGTGCTCTCCCATAGCTTCCCAGCAATGTCACCGCCTCCCTCTCCTAGCCCCTTCCACCACCACAGACACAAGCCCAGCTCTCTTCCCATCACAAATCTACCAGCCCCAAACCTCCGTGGGCCCAAACTGGGCCAGCTCTGCTGCCCCTCTTTCCTGCACAGCCCGGATCTGGAGAGGACTGTCCACACCTCCTCCCCACTCTATGCTTTTGAGCCACTGCGGCCTAGCTCTGATGACCCACTGTTTTTGCCGAGGTCACAGCTTGTTCCATTGAAAGTTTGATTGCCTTATCCTGTCTGCCCTCTCGCCGACCTTCCGGAGGCACCTGCTTGGCTCCAGTGACCCCATTCCCTACTGCTTGTGTCTCCTTTGCAAGCTCCTTTTTTGCCCACCCTTTCCCAAGCCAACATGGCCCCTACCAGCCTCTGACCTGGTCCCTTCTCACCACATACCTTCCCCAGGTGACCCTCCACCTGGGTGCTGATGGCCCCCAGCCACTTCTCTCTCGAGTTCTGATGCCTTTGCTGTACATCTAACTGCCCCTTAGTATCACCTCTGGTGGTTTTCAGGCACCTCATACCTTGTATGCCCAGAACCAGCCTTCCAAGTCCCTCCACCTGTAGTGTCTGCTCCTGGATTCCCGTCTCTCTCAGTAAGCGGCACCTGCACCCATGTGGCTGGCCAGGCCCACAGCTGGGCTTCATCCTTGATGGCTCCATTTCCTTCATGCTCCATAATCAACCCACCACCACAACCATCAGTGCTACATGCAGTGCATGCTCCAAGGGTGC